AATAAAAAATAAATTAAAGAAATTACATAAAATATAAAAACTTTTAAATAATTGATTGGATATTAATATTGATATATTTTTTTTTCAAAAATAAAATCATTATTGCTTTCTTAAAAACACATAAAATCGTATTATAACATCTACAAAGACATATAATAAATAGAACATTAAAATTGAGATTTATCTCGCTGCATTGCGCGAATATTCTTCTAGTATATATATATATATATATATATATATATATATATATATATACACACACACACACATACACATATATACTCAATATTGGAGGCACCGTTATTAAGATAGGTCCATGGTGGCTAAAACAATCATGGCGTCCTTACTAATATAGTCCTTAAAGGTGGAGTATTTACACTAAGCCCATTTCTCTCTGCTATGATTGATGACGAAATTGCACTAATAGCAGAGACGAATGGAGAGGTGAACCATTAAGTCGAACTGTGGAGGGTCGCAATGGAATCACAAGGTTTGCGCAGTTGTAGTTCTAATTCTAAGTTCGAATACTTTGGTGCAGTTTAAGTAGGGAGTGTAATGACAACGAGGTAGGTGTCAACATGGGTCTTATTGTTGCTGCATATCTCGTTTGTACACGTCTTCTCTTTGTTTTGAAGCAAAAGGTATCCCAAGAGGACAATTTGGGCATTGCTACTCCATGATTAGGAACGAGAGGTTAAGAATGACGTTACACACCACATAAAGGTCATAGAATCCCGTTCTACATGTCAATACCGACAACAATGAAATCTATAGTAAGAGGAAAACCCGTCGACTTAAAATTCGTTGAGTTGTTCCAAAGAATCAGACAGTTAACTAAATAGCTAACCATAAGATTATGTATGTTGTATAAGATAAGAGTGTTGGGCGATAAAGAAACACAAAAGAGGAAATTAGAAGTTACATAATGGTCCCTCTACTTTCAACTTTTTATGTTTTTTTTCATTAACCTGAATATTCAATCCGCTATGCGAGCCGACTAATTTCAGGGCGACCACCTGCTTCGTGGATAGTCATGAGTCATCGTATTTGAACCTCCGTAGCCACAAGGGGATTTTTATTCCTCATTGGATTTAAACCTGGGACCTCCAGCCACTTCTGACCTTTGGAACCAAAGCTGGACACCACCCTTGTGGTTAACTTTTTATGTTTATTTTTTGTAAGGGTGTCCGGGCCAACGCCCGACTAATCACCGGCAATTTTGGAGGCTAAACATTGCCCCACTTAAATGTCACCAACACTCCCCTCCCAGGGCTCGAACTTGGGTTCATGACTATGCCATGTCCAAGCCTTTACCACTAGGCTGGAAGGTCTTTGACAACTTTTTATGTTTACCCCTAAACTATAAAAATCATTATGTAAAAGACCCCGACTCCACAATCAATAAGATTGACTATAATTTCTAAGTCATTGAATAAGACACGTCTTAATTTCTACCATATTAAGACAGAAAGGCGATACTTTTTCTATTTTCAACTTGGTTTTTGCTTTAAGTGATGGTGCTAATACGAGAGCCTTTTATCCTTATTTTGTTGTGAGGTTTATAAGAATGACTTGACTTACATACGGGTCGCACTGAACCTTAATTTATTGATGCTCGAGTCGTTAGAAAATTGACCTGTTTCTTTAGCTTTTTATGTCTTGACGGGCCCGTTATGAATTTGGATATTATTATTTGAGGTTTGAAAATGATGGGATTGAAGTAGGTCTTTTTTTTTTAAATTGGAATTGATATAAAATAAAATAAGTTCACGGAAATATGTCGTACCAAAATGTCACATGTGATCCATGACCTACCAATAAGATAAAGTTAATCTTAAATTTATTTAATTGAAGTTGACGTTCCGTCTCTATTAATAACTGCTAATTAGCGTGAATGCACTGATTTATGGATATGTTGTCTAAAGAGGAAGACCAACTTTATATCACCCCTGTAGGTCATGTGTATTCATGTGATTGATGGACATAAATAGAACGTGGGTATTTAGGACAAAAGTTCCTTTTTCATAAAACTTCTATTTAAAAAAGCGTTACAATAGACTTATTGGGTTTTGAAGTCTATTACCTCTTAGTATCTCTGAAGTTTGATTTGTTCAGACGTTTGAGTATTAATAGCGTTTGTTTTATTTTTAAAATATGAGTTTAAAAGCTCTAAATGTCATCTGGATTTTTTAAGTAGTAAACATATATTCAATACCTCTTAATCCTAATTCGTCCTCTATCAAATGGTTCATACTTTGGGGGATGGAAGAAATTGTTAGCAAAAACTATTTATCTTTTATGCTTTTATAAAATAAAAAAAACTATTTATCTTTTATATTTTTGATTTCAGACGTAAAAACAAACAATCATATTAATCCAGATTTTAGACTTTAGGACCACCTCTTATTTATCTTTTATAAATCAGAAGTGAAATCAGACTTCAGACTTCAACACCTCTTACAAAACAA